TTTATCAATATAATATCTACTAAATCCACACCTTTATTACAAGAAGTGTGGCATTAAAACAGTGCTTCCTTATCAATATATCTACTAAATCCAGTGGAATTACATAGTTAACATAGTGCTGTCTCTACTTTACTGCACACAATTATAAAGTATACCCTTTCTTTACTCTGCAGTGTAGCTTTTTATAACAAGGTAAAATTTAAGGTTTTTTTCCCCTTAATAAACAGTAATGATGACATTCACAAAAACAAACACAGAGAACAAGTACACAACAGATTACAGAATCTCGAAAGGATGCTTTACGTGTGTCCTTTACAAAACTCCTCGTGCGGTGGGTTGGTGGTTAGTAGCTTCCACTCCCACATCCCTTTTTAATAGTTAAGATCTCAAGTAACGTTTATTAACTTTCTTAGCTAAACACGCTATCCTACTTGAGGATAATCATTAAAAGCCTCATTGTAATGCACTGGTTCTGATTACGCTAAACTATTTCATAATAAACACCCAAATTTTTCGTACTAAGCATTACTTCCTCAATAATTAATGGGAAAATATTCTACCTTTTAACTCTTCTATTCTATGTCACTCTGGTTTTATAAACAATAACAATTCTAATATCTATAACGTATTGTAGTTTGTAGAGAGCCGATATTTTATGAATAAGAAAAGTCTCGAAGCATTTCTGTATTATCCAAAATGTGAAATAAGGATGTCTATGGCGAGACTCTTATTCTAAGATCACCTTCACACCTGGTATAAATATAGCAATCTTCATATAGTAGTGGTATAAATATAGCAATCTTCATATAGTAGTGATATAAGTATAACAATCTTCATATAGTAGTGGTATAAATATAACAATCTTCATATAATAGTGGTATAAATATAACAATCTTCATATAGTAGTGGTATAAATATAACAATTTTTATATAGTAGTGGTATAAATATAGCAATCTTCATATAGTAGTGGTATAAATATAACAATCTTCATATAATAGTGATATAAATATAACAATCTTCATATAGTAGTGATATAAGTATAACAATCTTCATACAGTAGTGGTATAAATATAACAATCTTCATATAGTAGTGATATAAGTATAACAATCTTCATACAGTAGTTATCACTACTATATGAAGATTGTTATATTTATACCTTAAATATAACAATCTTCA